ATAGAGCATCTGATATTTTTCTGGTAAATAACTGGTAGCAAAACCTCTCAGTCTTCCACCCTCACAAATCATTTAAATTCCATCATTCCTTGGGGTTTTAAAATTACTTTCAGTGTGTTTAAAAGGGGCTGTTGACTAGAGATGAGTAAGCAGCCCTTCTCTTGAGATAAAATAGGCTCTTTGGCTTGCAGCCCCTAATTCATTTGTCTTGCTGTCGGTCACAGTGGAAGTATCTTTATATTTTTTGAATCAAATGCTGTTTGTAAAAATGAACGTGAAAATCAATCATGTGATAGCCACAAACGGCTCCTTTGCCTACTAATGTCACTGTGCACTCTGAGAACACTCAGTGCTCAGGATTTCTAAATTTCTGGGCTTATTTTAACAATTGTTGTTTACAGGCTTCAAAATACTGTGTAAATTAATCAGTCCATTACCCTGTCCCTCGTGTTCAGGCTGGTTCCTACTTCCCTTCACATCACTAAAAGCTCTCTCACCAGAAGCCTTTCACTGACAACAAATCCATTGAGTAATTCCAAGTCTCAGTTTTGAGAGAAACATTTTATTTCTCCTAATTACCTTTATATATATAAAAAAGCACTCAGCCATCCTCTTTTCTTGAAGTAAAACCCCATTTTCAACCTCTTCATTCCTTGTGCTTTACCCTGTTGGTTTCTAAGCCCTATTTTCAGGGAGATGTTTCACAGTTCTCTTGGAGTTGTAATGATTTGTATCAGCTGCCAACCTGTGCTTCTTCCTGCTTGTCTTTTGTCTCATTGTCTCTTGATCCCCAGCTTCAAAAGCCATTTTTACATCTCATACAAACTTCCTGCGTCTCTTTCTGCCTTGTATTGATCCTAAAGACCTCCCTCTGATGTGCTGATTGTAATAAATGACACTGTGCAAGGGCTGGGCAGAGGCTGCTGTGCAAAGCTGGCACATCTCCCATCTCTGGGCTTGATCCTATTTCCATTCCAGTTGGTGAAAAATCTCTTATTGATTTTAGTACAGCAAGCCCAATATTAAATTTCCATGTATCTGTATTTATAGCTGCATTTCTGATGGGGAATTTTCCTCCTTCTTGGGCAGGAACTGTCTTTGTCTGTGTTACCACAGCATCTTGGCAATGGGGACAAATCTGGTTTTAGGATCTTATCTCTGTTGTAATAGAACCACAGGATCATTTAGGCTGGAAAAGACCTTTAAGACCATGGAGTTCAACCTTAACACGTGACCTAACAGTGCCAAGTCCCTTAGCACCAACATCCAAGACTGAGAAAGAAAAAGGGAAAAGAATTTGGGATTGCTGATCACTTTGCTGCCACGTGGGAATGGGGGAATTTGCCGACTCTCTGCTCAGTTTTAGGAATTCTTAAGTGAGAGAAGTTTTCCTTTTTGCTCGGCTGTATTTTACACAAACAAGCAGCCTGTCTGACCTCTGACTGTGGCTATAAATATCCCAAACCTCTGTCAGATTATAGTGACAATGCAGTATCACAGCGCTCCTGCTGTTTTGGTTTTGTTTTAATTACATGACTTAGTGTTATTTACTAATCAGTCTGGGAAGGTTCCTTGAATTTAACTGACACTGCTCTAAGCTGACAGCATGTAACATCCTGCTCTGTAGCTAAGCACTGGCTATATAATACCACATGAAATAAAGGAAGACATCATTCTCCTAAAAATATAACAGAGAGTTCTGCAGAAAACGAACTTCTGGATTCTAGGGGCCTGTCTGGCAACAAATTTAGCAAATCAAATAATACCAATATTTGATATATTAATACCAAATGATGGCCTGAGTCTGTGCTCTAATTCTACACATTGTTAATTCAGATCCTGTATTGTCTGGCATTGCAATGCCTGAATCTTAAGGTTTGTGTGACCCACAGCGAGTGGCTCCACTTTGTGGATCATCACATCTGGAGACCAAACCTCTGTGCACGTTGGACAGGAGGAATCCTGGAGGGAGTGTGGTGGCTGAGTACAAAGGGGTTTGAGCCAAAGCAAGGGCAGAATGGAGCAGCAGCAGATGCCACAATCTTTATTTCTTGGCTGGTGCTGCTCAGTCTCCTTGATGACTCAGTTACATGGGGAAATAAGCTTTCTGAATGCAAAGGAAAAAAAGTGCCTTTTGTGCCAAGGGAAGGTTCTTGGTAATGTGCTCACAGAGTAGAACATTAACCCACTGCATATCCAACTCCCATAATATAAATGTCATCTTCCTTAATGCTCAAAGCACAGGTTTTCCACAGTGAAAATTGTGAGGTCTTGCAGAGTAGAAATGAGGATATTTTACAGCATTAATTGACTTACAGGGTGAGAACCTCACTCCAAGCCTGTGGGTTTGGATTTTTTTTCTTGGTTGGTTATAATTCTTTTTATATCAGTTGAAGATGACCTATTTTTCTAGTTGTAAGATTGGAATCTCTAAAATAATGTACCATTCTTGTCAAATGAACAGGACCTTCCTCCTGTTTTAAAAAGACAGTTATTTTCATGTGTGTGACCTGTGGTCAGCTGCTTTAATTTAAAAACCAAGTCTGTGGTTTAGTGATTTTGTAGCTCATCTGCAAGTCATACACAGGCAAAAATAATCCAAGTCTCTGCAAATCCTACCTCTGTTTTTTGCAAGGTGATATGAAGGTTTGTTTTCAATAAAGAATGTTTTTAAACACATGGACATGTTAAGAATGTGAGTGAAAGCTGCATTACTGAGCACAGGCTCAGTGGACACTGTGGAGTCAGGCAGTGCTCCCAAACCCAGGGAATTTGGTATTTTAAAAAGGCCTTCTGGCACAATTCCAGGTGAGCAAAGGCTTTGCCAGGACACCAAAAGGTTGCCAGGGAAGGCACAAAAGGCAGGTTCTCAAAGCAGCTTCGTAAATTTGGCACCTGATTCCCATTGATGCAAAGGCTGAGAAAATCCCATGAGGAGATGCCTGGTTTTCTTCACCATGGAAGGAGCCCTGTTGCTGCCATGACATCATTCCACAGATCACCTGAAAAACAAGTGGAATTGTGGCCTCAGGAAATGGATTTAGTGGGGCAGAGATGTACCGTGTTAGTTTGCAAATCATAAAGTAGTTCAAGTTGGAAGGGCCTGCCAAGCTTTAGCTTAACATACAGTAAATTAAAATTTTCAGAATTATGATGTATATTTATAAACTATTTGTCATCATAGTAATCACAGGAATGTTACTTTGATTTCATTTAAAAACAAACAGGACCATGTTTGCAGCAGCCTGTTGTTAATTAGCCTAAAGGACACCAATGGCTATTATTGAGGAATAGAAAGATTTATAAAGAATATAAAGATTCTGCAAGCAATTTTGGGACTTATTAGACTGTCAGCTACTTACTGCATTTTTACCACAGGTGAAGAACTACTGTCAACAGTAAAAGGAGCCTTTAGAAAATCAAAATTTCTCCGTACTTGGTGGCGCTGGTTTTTATCTTCTAGAGATAATAATATAAATTATATCTAAGATATAAACATTTCTCTTCCTCATACTTTAATTTCTGCTATGATGGCAGTTTTGTGCATTTCAACTTCACCCTTATTTTTTTCTGCTGAGCCTTTATCTCCACTGACACATTTCTCAGTTTTAAATATTTGCATCTTCCTTTGGTTGAAACTCTTCCTGGCTGTGCCAAGTTCCTTTTGCCTCCTGCACTTTCTGCTGACCCAGAACAGAGAATTGCACCTCTCTCCCCAGGCCTCTCTGCAGCAGAGCATTTTGGTACCTTTTGCACCAAGTTTCCTTCAGAACTGAGTGCCTCCCCCTTCGGGGTGTCCTGCTGGGCCAGGTTCCTGCTGTGCCCCCCGTGGGGAGCTCAGGGAGGATTGTGCTTCCTCACAGGCTCTTCCTTGTTTTCCTGGTGGGTTTTCATGAGGACCGTGCAGAAGAGCTCCTGGCCTCGCTACTGCTCTGTGTTTATTTGTTCCTGTGTGTGTTAAGAATATTTTCTTTTAATTTCTGTAGCTTCTGTTAGAGAAACTTAAAGAGTTTGCTTTTAAATAAAGGTCCTCCTCTGTGGCTGAGAGCAGAAGTTTCCCAGCTTGCCTGTGCCCTGGCCACTGTACAGTGGACATTGGAATCCTTTCTGTTTTCAAATGGATTTGGGCAGGGCATGAAAACCGAACACAGTCTATTGCAGAATGGTTTTGGCACTCTTTTTGAGTAATTACATATCATTATAGTCTTATTTAAATGCAACCTGCCTAAACATTTTATTAGTACTTTACTACTTAATTAACAACTATTGCTGAAAACAGTCCTCATACTGAGCCTTATTCCACTTAAGCATCCATGCTGATGGAATACAACTCCCCTTCTAAAGGAATAGATGACATTCTGTGGAATGTTTTTTCTTGGTTGGTTCTTGAAAGTGAGCCACTTATTTAGTGCTGAGTATCTGAAATTATTTAAAACAGTCTCTGCCAATGCTTTCTGCATAAAAATTGAACAGACTATATAAATAAAATTCTCAACAATAACTCACATTCTTAGGTGAAGAGCCTTCATACAACTTTACAAGCTGTAAAGTGTTCAGATTTTTCTGCTGCTTAATCAACAATTGCATTAGTCTTGTGGTGCCACTGCATGTGTCATTTTGTTTGGTCTCTTACTCTCCTGATGGGTTCAGTAGGTTCAAAGCATGTAAACTGGAATGACCTGTGGATCTCACATTTCCCAGGGATGTCCACACAGAAAACCAAAGAGGTGTTTGGGTTTGGGAGCACGAGAATGGACAAAGAAATGTCTATTTGTAACTGGAATTTATTAGTTTATTTTTTAAAGACAGTTTTTGATGGAGGAGTGCTGGGTACATAAAACAGTGCTCTGGAGAGTTCTGGAGCTCTGCAGGGTTTCTGGGAATTAGTGCTGTGATAATGATGGAAGATCACTTAGAGCTTTCTGCAGACAGGAAAGATGTGTCGTGATTTTCCTCCATAAGCTGCAAGCTGACAGTCTTTCCCATTCCTCTTTCTTTAGGAATCTCAGATGGAGGAATCGAGCAGAATAGGTGGAGATTTGCTTTCAGAACTGAAGTTCAGCAGGACTTGGTTCTCTCCATGAGTGACAGAATCCTTCACAGTGAGTGACATGAGTTTCCCATCTCGTTATCTTTGGTCAGACTGTGTTTCCAGTCCATAAGTCATGGTGGAGGGAAGGTGGTGTTTGAAGAGATAACCTCCTTCTTGTTGCTGTGTTCCTTGGTGGGACGTTGCCATCTTTCAATGTCATATATTTTTGTCAGCTGTTTGAGCTCACAGTCAGCTCAAATGTGTCTCTTTGGTTCACCTGTGTGTGTCCAACGTGCAGCCCCTGCCCCAGCTGCCAACAGCTGGGAGAAAGGCAGGGCTGAAGGCTGGGGGGAAAGTCTTTCCAACCACTCCAGCAGGCCTTGCTTGGCAGGGTTTGTCTCAATGCCACAGGTGATGGTTTTGTCCAACCTTCAGGCTCAGGCTTTGTGAGGGTTTTTAGATGGGAGAAAGGACTTCCCAAGATCTGTGCAGGGAACCTTGCTGTGAGCATTCCCACCCTGGACATGTTGGACGTGTGTGCAAACTAATCCTGTTCTGTGCCCAGGTTTAACCAGGGCAGGGCAATCCAACTTTAAATGGATGGTCCTGGTTGTTGAGTCAAGTTCCTGGAGAAGGTGGGCTCAGGCCATGGAGCTCAGTGGGGCAAGAATTGTGACAAAACTCTTCCTTTGTGTGGGTGTTCATAGGCTGAGCTGCCTGTCCTCAGCCTTTCACTGGAAACAGGGTCTGTTCCCTACTGAGGGTGAGCTGGAGATTCGCAGCTGGTCTGTAATGACCCTCAACTAACACTCTGAAGGTGACAACTGGAGTCTTTTTCCTTCTGCTCCTTTCCCCTCCTCCACAGGTGTCCAATGTGGTTATTTACACCTGTGAAGAGTAAGAAGGTAGGTATAAAATGCTGTCATTCTGGTTTGGCAGTGTTTAACAACCTTGTAAATGAGTGTTCAAACCTTCAGGTGGAAGAGTGGGCCCTCTTTCAAATATTCCTTTAATTTTTTTTTTTTTAATCCTCAATCTTTTTATGCCTTTTTTTTTTTTCCTTCCTGAATAGAGTATCTACAGTGAGCAGGCAAAGTGACGCTTCAGTGGGGAATTTCTTAAGAGGGATTAATTTAAAAATGATTTAGGAAATCTCATGATTTCATCAAACACTCCACAAAGAACACTGTGAAGCACAGTAGCATGCACAGATACTCCTTTGGGAATAGGACACACGAGTTGAACTGTATTTTCATTAGGAAAATGTACTCCTTTTGATATCCGTGTGAGTATTTAGTATTATTGATTCTAATGCTCTCATGAAGCCCTTCAGCACTCAGCCTTCCCAGGATTATCACTGGGATTTTTGTCAGAGTAGGGATCATAGGACTGCACAGATATGTGTTCATGAACCTCTTTCTCATCAGTTTGCTGTTTACTTTAGCATTTGTCCTAATTTAAAACCTGAGAGCTCCTGTAAAGTTGGAAGAAAATTGCAATGGTTGCCTTCATTAATGGAGGAAAAAACTTCCAGTAATTTTTTGCATTTTATGGCCTCTTTTTGTTCTGCTGGTAAGAAAAGTGTTCTCTGAGTGAGGGTTAAATGCATTCTTGACACTTGATTCCCTCCCCTGCCTGCTGACTCACCATTTCGTTGGCACACAGCCATGGTGCAGTTGTGGAGTGTGTTTACCAAGTGCTTGAATCACAAATGGAGAGCTGCTGGTGGATTCTCTCAGACTTGAAACGGTTGGGAAAAGTTTGAGTCTTTCAAATCAGCTCTGTAGCAGCCTACTCAGTTTAATTGTTCAGTATGTTGTTAGACAAAATGCATTTATTTAAAAACCCTCCTTTAGAGAGGGACAGTGTCTTGGTGTCCTGACTAGTCACAGACATGTATGGAAGATGAATCCTACCAGGTCTAACGTGCTTTGGGATATTCCTTTCTAACTGGCATCACATTAGCATCCAGGGAAATGAGTCTGTTTCTTCCTGTTACATGTAAATACCTGAAGAATAAAACATCCTGTTTTTCTGGTCTGGTGAAGGCAGGCCCAGCCTGGGAATGGGGATGGGAATGGGGATGGGGTGGGTGTTCCAGCACCGCGTCCAATGATGTTCTCGGATGGTCATGGGCATGAGGAACTTGTAGGTTCCTTTATAGTTCATAAATGGACATGGCTTTGGACATCATTCCAGGAGCAGCCCTGTGCAAAGGAGTGATGGAAGGTCATTGTGGCAGGAAAAAAGATTTTAGTAAGGCTTGCTTTTAGAAATAAAGGGAGGATCAGAGTCAAGCAGTTGCCAGCTCCACACTCCAACCAGTGGGATGCTGCTGCCAACCAGCAAAGTCACACTTTGCCCTTTGTCCTTGGACCAGGAGGGCATCCCTTGGCAGTGCAGCTGGCAGGAGTTTGGAGTTGTTGCTCATTATGAGCCTAATGGACAAAAACTGGACTTGAAGAGGATTGTTTGCCAGAGTCTGAGCCCCTGACAACCGACTTGCTGCAGCTGCATACAAACTAAACAAGTGAGAGGCTAAGATAATGCAGGTCTTGAATAATTATCCATGAGAAGAGTTTTTTGTGAATTCCTTTATCCTTTTAGTGAACCTCTTGTAGGAAGTGAATACCCCAGAGCCTGGTGGGCAGCGTGTGGCAGACCCAGGCAGCTGGAAGGGCAGCAGTGGGGAATGGCTGATCTTTCTTGAGTCATAGAAATTGTACCCCTCACTTACAGACACAGCAGAAACCTTTCTGGATGACTGTGAATAACTTATTTCTAGATGACAGTAATTAACTCAGCCCTAACAAGTCAGGATTGCTGCTTAGCCTTTAAAAGAGTCTTCATTCTAGAAACTCTAATGTTGGAAGCAGCTTTTTATCTCCCATCTCAGGAGAAAGCAGCAGTTCAACAGCCCCTGTTTCAAACATGACTTGAAGTTGCAAAGAACATTTTCACCCTCCTCTTTAAATATGTTCCCCAACATATTTCTGTCTCTGACCAATGTATAAAATGAGTTTCACAGATGTTGTGTTACACACCTGATAAATGTGACTGAAGAGTTGAGGAAGGTTAAAGCACAGCAGAGCAAGTATTTCTACTAACAAGAGTGAGCAGTAACACTGAAAATATTGACATTCATACAAAATTTCAGACACTGCTGTTAAATTTTGAACTAAGGATATGGAATCCTTCCTCCAATGCTAATTATGTCATTCTTATCAGAGCCACATTATCTCTTCAAGAGATGGCTACACACATTCCCTGTACCATTACTGTGAGGGACTTTGTTGTGGTATCTGTCAGCCACAGGGGCTGATCTAGAAGCAGGGGAAGTCAGAAGGAGGATTTCTATTGGTGCTGGTGGCTTTTGACTTAGATCCATTGGATTTGTTCAAGTGACACCAGTGTCTGGAAGTGCTAAAGGAAAGGTGATACAGTTTAACTTATAAATTGTTTCCTTTTCTCCAAATGAAAAGTTCTTCTTTGTCCCACAGAACTTTTGACAGTCCCACATGAAAATCATTGTGTGAAGCCACATGGACTTAATAATTGGAATTTAACAGTTTTTAACGGTTCTGGTTTTTATTATATATTTATAATGAGCAAATTTTGTTAAGCCAAGGAAAGAGTATAAACTAGAGCAAAATGGTGCTAGAACAATTCAAGTGGTTTGAATTCTAGAGGGGGCTGTTAGTGTGGCTTTCTTTGTAATCTGAAAATCTCCATGCTAGGACTCGGTTTTGAGGATAAATCAGGCATCAGAGATGCATTATGTTTGATTAGATTTTACTTCTGAGGGGGTTTCATGAAACACAAGACACCAAGGAGAGGTGAATTCCTGCTGTTTCATCCAGAATCTCACCCTGACTTTTTCCTTCACAACCAAACTGTCCCCAGTCCAACTTCTGACACTTGATTTGCTTTGAACTCTCCCAGTCTGTGCAATGGTGTCCTTCTGGTTCTCTCACATGCTTTCATCTGCTGTGCATTTCTCTCAGAACCTCTCCTTGTTCTTCCCATATGCAATATTGTTTCTGTTATTCCAAGAGGATTCAATGACATGTCTTAGTTTATGTGGAGCTTTGACCTGTTTGAATTCTTTTTATATCTTAAGTGGGATTAATACCTGCAATTTATACATGCCATTCCTAGACAGGCTTTTTGTTTGTTTAAATTTGTAGGCCTTATGTATTCTTAATTGGTTCCTCTTCCATGTAATATGTTTGTGTATTAATTTACTGCAACAAGGACTGGCATTACAAAACCCTTGACTCGCCCAAAATATTTGGACCGAGTTTTTAATTTTAAAGAATTTGCTTTCTTTTAAAAATGAGTTATTTCAAATGAAACTCACATGTTGGCACTCTGTGTTAAGACCCAAAGTTCTCACTACAAGGGTTAGGAAAGGTGTCACACCCTGTTCATCATGTGCACATTGCTCACAGGCCAGTGGAATCCACGATAAGTTAATTCCTGACAAGAGTCACCGTAATAAATAATTGGATTTGTTGATAGTGAAGCAAGACTAAATTGCTCAATCCTCTGCTCTAAATAGCTGACCATGGTTTTTACTAACAGAGTCTCTCAGTTTAAAGCCAACCAACATAATTCCTAGACCATAATTGTTGTCCCTTGACTCAAGTGTAGGTCATTTTCTCAGATCTTGTTGTACAGGTGGTTTGGCAAATGCTGGCTCCCTGTCCAAATATCCTTCCTTTTCTGCCCCAGGCAGAAGCTATTTACAATTACCCTTCTAATCATGGGAGATACCTGGTTGGAAACAGCATTCCCAGATGCTACAGCCAAAGGATCCCCTGGTACACACGAGGCCCGTGGCAGGAATCCCATCGGTTTCCCTGCACAGGGACCAGAGGGTGATCCACCTTCACCCTGCTTCTGGGCTGAATCTTGGCCTCCCTTGGCAAATAATCTCTTCAACAGCAAATTCCCTCCTGTGGAGCCAAAATCCTGCCCTCAGCAGCTGGTTGTGGGCAGATGTGCTTTAGGTGATGTGCACATGTCCAACAGTGGAAGTGAGAATGGGGAAGGTGTCCTAGAAGTGCA